CAGCAGCCCTCCCGATTGGCGGGCGGGGCGGCTATAAAGGGGGGGCGCAGGCGGCGCCCGGATCTCTTCCGCCGCCATTTTAAATCCAGTTCCATACAACGCTCCGCCGCCGCTGCTACCGCGACCCGAACTGCGCGCCAGCCTCCCCGTGCCCACAGTTTCCGCCGCCATGGAGGACGTGAACGAATACAGCAACATAGAGGAATTCGCGGAGGGATCCAAGATCAACGCCAGCAAGAATCAGCAGGATGACGGGTACCGCACGCTTGTCCCTTCTCTACCCCTCCCCCCAGCGCGCCGCACGCGCCTTTCGTCCCTCGGGAGCCGCGCGCCGCCCCCATTCTTGTCCAGAGTCGATTCTCCGCGTGCCCGCTGGGCCCGGCTACCCTGAAGGGAAGAGGAAAGTAAGAGACGGAGGAGGTTGATTCGAGAGGCCCGCGGAGAGTGGGGGAAGGGCGAAAGGGTTGGAGGAGGGTGGTGGTGTCCGCGTCCCGAGTGCGCAGGCGCCGCGTGGGGCCCGCGGGGGAGGGGCCGGCCTCGCTGCGCCACATGCTGCAGCTGCCGCCGCCTCTTCATTGTGTCTGTTACTGCTCCGCGCAGTTTTCCTGTGAAGAGTTCAGGGGTACTCGTGCTGCGGGCACCAGTGCGCGACTGGCCCCCAGAACGCGTCATGATGGGTTCTTCGGGTGCAGTGTTGGCTTGACAGCTGAGGGTGAGCGTGAACCTAAGTTGTTCCGGATCAGTTTAGGAAGTTGAGCTCTCTAACTTAGAGGATCTGGGCAGAACCTGTAGCTCGCTTTATGGCCTGGTCCTAAGTTACGCGTTATTCCGCGGATTCGACTAATGACCCCGACGAATTTTCGGATTGTTACGGTCTGTTGTTTTTATATTGTACACATAGATTTCATTGCTTACACGTAGGGAGTAGATCACCCCGTGCTACTATCGCAGTTTAATCCCAGGACTGCAGTAGTTGTTTGAGTTAACTGCTAAACTTTAAAAAAGAAAACTTTTATTTCTAGTAAAATGTTTATTGGAGGCTTGAGCTGGGATACAAGCAAGAAAGATCTGACTGAATATTTGTCTCGATTTGGGGAAGTTGTAGACTGCACAATTAAAACAGATCCAGTCACTGGAAGATCAAGAGGATTTGGATTTGTGCTTTTCAAAGATGCTGCTAGTGTTGATAAGGTAGGAATTTGTGTGTTTGCATTGTGCTTTTTGCGTGTGTATATGTGTGTGTGTATTTTCTAAGTTCTAATGTTTGGTTATGAGTTACTGTCAGATTAAATAATATGTCTTCTAGGTTTTGGAACTAAAAGAACACAAACTGGATGGCAAGTTGATAGACCCCAAAAGGGCCAAAGCTTTAAAAGGGAAAGAACCTCCCAAAAAGGTTTTTGTGGGTGGACTGAGCCCAGATACTTCTGAAGAACAAATCAAAGAGTATTTCGGAGCCTTTGGAGAGGTGCGATTTCTGGTTATGTATTTTATATTTGATGTGTTCTTAACATTCATTCCTGGTGCACTTTATATGAAACATTCATAGTTCATATGAGGGTAAGATTAAGTTACTGCTCAAGCTCCTTCCAGTGGTTGTACTGTAATGGCCAGTATCGGCTTTTATTTATTTTGGCCAAAACCCTGGTGCTTTGACATGGTCAGTATTTGGACTCTTATTGACATCTTGTGTACAGTTGTTGGGTGTGCACACAGGATGTTTTACTCCTCCCTCAGTGCTTCACATCTGCAACTAATTTTAGGTTGGTGTTGATTACAAAGTCATTTGATTAAAATAACATTTTATATTTAAGCTTGAAAGAGCCTTTGATGTTCTTATCTGATAGCTTTTTACTGTTACTGGATGATATTGAGCATACATGTCAATTTCAGATTGAAAACATTGAACTTCCCATGGATACAAAAACAAATGAAAGAAGAGGATTTTGTTTTATCACATATACAGATGAAGAGCCAGTAAAGAAATTATTAGAAAGCAGATACCATCAAATTGGTTCTGGGAAGGTAAAGCCTTTTAATTATCCTAAATGAAATGCATGCGGATTCTCATCCTTTTGAGAAGAGTAGAATGATTTAATGTTAGAACTTCAATTTAAAAATTCCATTGGTGTGTGTTTTGACTTGTTTATAGTGTGAAATCAAGGTTGCACAACCCAAAGAGGTATATAGGCAACAGCAACAACAACAAAAAGGAGGAAGAGGTGCTGCAGCTGGTGGAAGAGGTGGTACTAGGGGTCGTGGCCGAGGTAAGACTTAATTCTTAAATGACTAAACATGGTTTAGGTTATCTGGTGGTAAATATGAGTAAGCCCATAAGAAAACAAAGCTAAATTTAAAACTACTCCAATGGGAGGGGTTAAATGAGTTTACTAGTTTCATCTGTTCAAAGAATGGCCACTTTGACAATTAAGGCCATAACTGATAAGAACATACCAGCATTGCATGAAAAGGCAAGGTCTGATGAGTTTTGTGGGACTAGGGTCCCATCTGTTAAGCAGAACAACATGTCTTCAACTTAAATGAAAAATTTGGTGATTTTAGGAAATTAGGAAGGTTGGTGTTGGGGTAATTTAACTTTCTGCCCCCTTTAAAGATTGTAGATTGAGAGACAGGAATGTCTCAGTTTGTGTTGGGATTAGGTCTTGGGTGTTTGCTAACCATCATTATGTGTTGTTTCAGGTCAGGGCCAGAACTGGAACCAGGGATTTAATAACTATTATGATCAAGGATATGGAAATTACAATAGTGCCTATGGTGGTGATCAAAACTATAGTGGCTATGGCGGATATGATTATACTGGGTATAACTATGGGAACTATGGATATGGACAGGGATATGCAGACTACAGTGGTAAGAACATTTATCATATTTTCACAAACCAGTGGTATTAAAACTCTGTTAAAGTGCAATCCTATTCAAATGTTGTTTATATGTCTTAAGTTTTCCTTTCTTTGAAGTATTTGGAGTTAAGTTGGGACTTGTGTTCATAGGGTGGTTATACTAATACAAAGATAGTGTGGATACAAATGTGCTAAGATGTTTAGCTTAGGGCTTACTAATCATGGCTGTTAAAAATACCTTAATATTTTTTGCATTTCATGCAAAATTTTCCGTGTTTAATAGTTTTTGAGGTGCTTACAAAAAACCATTTGGTAGAAAAGCTAATTAATGAATTTTTTTTTTTTTTTTTTAATATAGGCCAACAGAGTACTTATGGCAAGGCATCTCGAGGGGGTGGCAATCACCAAAACAATTATCAGCCATACTAAAGGAGGACATTGGAGAAAACAGGTGTGTATAAGAGTGCAAGAAACCAGTAGAAATGTCTAATTTAATTTAAAGATCAATAGACAAATGAAAAATAAGTGAAAACAAAATATTGCGTAGCCTGTTTTTACTAAATTGTTGATTTTTAATTGCTTTATCAGCCTGTTTTGCCTAAAATGTCTATAGATCTTTAACTTTAAAGTCTTACCTCACCTTCTTTAGTATTACAGAAAAACTTAAAAGTTTTTCTGTTTGCTTTGTGTACCAGGTGATCTAGAGGAATAATTAAACTTTTTTAGAACTATTAACAGGTAAAGTACTGAAATGGGTACAACTTAAGGAAAACAAGAATGTTGTCTTCTAACTCTGACATTATACCTTGTTTGTACCCGCCAGCGGGAACTTCATTGCAGGCCGTGTGTCACCCTGACCACGTCTATCTCTGGGGGTCGCACGTTGCGGGCAGAGCGCAAGGCATACACCAGAAAACGCTGTCCTGTGGTATGGTCTCTTCCAACTTCATGTACCAGCGTAAAGATTAAAGTGGAAAACTTCAGACTTTGGCTTCTTTTTTTAATCTTTTTGGAGATTAAGTGTCTAAACTTAACTTAAATGGTTTTTTACAGGAGTTAAAGTACATAAATGCCTTTTTACAGCGTAATCATTTTGGTCTTCTGTTTAGTGTTGTATTTCAATTGTGGAGCCTCATTTTAAGTGTTCATTCTTTAAGATTTAATGCTTGCTTTTTCTTTTTATAGCTAATAGTGAAATCTACAAACCAAAACAACTTTTAAATCTGGGATTATAAATTAAAGATCATATGCACAAAGCAATTCATTTTCTTATAATATACCTATTAAAATTCATGTTTGTGATAGTGTTTTACTTGGCTTACTAGAGATGCTTTTAGTAGGCCTTAATCTTTAGCACCATTCAACTTTTAAAGATGGGAAGCTTACATTCCCAGATCTTTCCTGAATATACCTGAATTTGATTTCGTTTGGGAACTCCAGGGTGAGTTTGAATTACCAAACTGCATTTTGCAAATAAGTATGCATGTGATCTTTAATTATTGAAGAAAAGAATAAAGTGAGGACTTAAAACAATACATGAAAGTGGACCTTTGAAAGCTTGTCAGAGTTGCACAACTCTAATTGCTTGATTTGTTTTTGTTTTTAGGAGGAGATGTTAAAGTAACCCATCTTGCAGGACGACATTGAAGATTGGTCTTCTGTCGATCTAAGATGATTATTTTGTAAAAGACTTTATAGTGTACAAGACACAAACTGTGTCCAACTGTATATAGCCACCAATTAGTTTTCTTTGTTTTTACTTTGTCCTTTGCTATCTGTGTTATGACTCAATGTGGATTTTGTGTTTATACAAATTTTATTTGTATGATTTCATGTTAAACCTCAAATAAATGCTTCCTTATGTGATTGTTTTTCTGCGTCAGGTACTACATAGCTCTGTAAAAAATGTAACCTTAAATAAGCAATAATTGAGGCACAGTTTATTTTGTAGGGAGTATTGGTCCACAGGGAGAAACTGCACTCCTTTATAGCCAGCCATGGTGTTTACCGTATTACCCATTTTTGTAGATGTATTCTATGTGTTAAGGCCTTGTCTCCCTGCTAACTGAGGCTACCACCACATTTTGATGTTCTTTCCCTTCTGGATATCTGGAGGCTTTGTCATGAGACTAGATCATAATATTGTAATTGGTGGAAGCGTTCTAGTAGACCATGTAATCTTCTGTAATCTTTTTTTTTTTTTTAAAGAAAAATGTTTTTTTTAACACCACCATGGTGTAGTGTATTTTGCTTTCTTACTATTTCTGGTAAGCCATTTATGATTTGCTCATTGTTTTCAGAGTAAGTCTGGTCTGCTAGAAAAAGCTTTCTCTTATAACATGAATTTAATTGTCTTGGTAAGAATCTTCAGATAAAAGAGTACTGTAAGCTGTGTGGTAGGAGCTAATGGTTTAAGAGCATTGAAAATAGTTGCAAGGATTTTTGCAGACAAGTATTAGAT